GAAATGTGATATTAATAACGATTAAAATAGGATGCTAGGAATAGAGATACGAGATTAAATGCAATTTTCGCAAGATTCATCTGTGGAGATTTTTCGCTTTGGGTGGACACAACGTGTCCACTTTAACGAGAAAATACCTAAGTGACATGATAGTTTTGGAATGAAATTTACCGTTGTGGTGGCATCGTTGGCAGAGACGCGACGTAGTTACCTCGTCGTCGCGCTGCACCGAGGCTAAAGACCTCGACACACCTGTACACGAGAGAGCTTAGACGACAAATGCGAATGCCAGACACGAGGATAGATCGCCGGGAGCGCGGGGTAAACGTATCGAAAGTTCAAGGCAACGTGACGCGCGACTCGTATTGTAAAATTTTCTCGATGTAGAGGAACGCCAGAATATTCCATCCGACTGTCGATGTTCTCTCTGTTTTCGTGTTATTTTACTTCGAATATATTTAATTTGAGATTCGAGTTGAGGGGACATATCGCGGAGAAAGAGGAACCGTAATATATTTTTATATCGAGAAAAATTTAACACGCAAGATTACGTTTGATTTCCTGAAATTATTCGATAATAAAATTATGGAAAACGTTGATCGTTAAAAAATCGATACATTTATCACAGATATATCGTGAAATCAAAGCAGATGTTTAACCAGCTCGATTTGTCGTCCTCTCACGAGAATTCTATTAACTAAGAGCGTTAGATTCCAACACGCGTTACTCATTTTCGCGAAAGTAAGGCCGCGACATCAACAATTTCACATACGGATAAACGGGAAATAGTTATCCGGAGTGTAGGAATCTCTGCTCAATGATGGAGATGCTTTTAACTTTAAACTTCGTGTACCGTTAGTGCTTCCCGAGATTGCACCATAAATATCGCGTGTGACATCTTAATCGCATCGCATAAGTTATTTCGCGTTAATCCCCTAATCTTGGCGACGTATCCTGCGAAATATATTTCACCGGCTCGTAATTTGGGGCTAAAATATGTATTTAAATGCATAAGATGATTTGTATGCATTATGGTATTTCTATATGCCTCCCCTTTTTATTTTCATTCAAAAGATCTGCTCGAATTTGATTAAGTGATTAGAGAGAAACGCAGAGCACATTGTGGCCAATTTCTATTTGTATCAATCTTACCTTGATTAACGTTACGAAAAATTATTTTCCAATTGACGTTTCATGAGAAATATAAGTGTGTGTGATTTTGCTAATACGTGAATCTGCGAGTCATAGACAGACAATTAACATATGATCATTATACATATATAGATATGCAAATTGTGTATTTCATTACAAAATCATGATTTGTTGCTTTTAAGTCTCGGAGCGGCCAAAGGTCAGTCTCGATTCTAATGCAAACGTGTTTCAATTTCCTCTTATTATTTCGAGCGACATTTTAAATTGTTATTAAATGCTATTTTCCCATATTAGACGAGGTGCGAAATATATATATATATATATGATTTTGTTTACACAATTTATTCATCAGTCATATGTTTAAAATGGCATAAATTTAATTTCGAAATCTTAGCAATTTTACATACATATATATTATACATATATTATTAACATGTAATTATATACATTATATACATATGTATATAATTATGATTTGTGTGCAAATCGATATGCCTATATTTCGACAAGCATGTCTTATAAGACTTATGTCGTTGTCAAAACAAACGCTCGATTAATCCGTTATCACAGAGATTAATTTATTCGACTCTAATTAGTGTCGATATAAACAATTTATCTATTCGCGATGCGTCATTTCTTTTCTTTCAACTTTGCCGGCATAGTTTTCTATCTCAATTTGTATTTATATTCAATCCACTTTCTTCCGGGATTGCGTAAGAGCCTAAATGCAACATGTTCGACAATAACAAGACTAAAAGATTATTTTCAATCGAGCACTGAAACCTTGATTTTTCGAAAACAATTGCCAATAATTACAAATATTAATTAAAAAAATTTGCGCGTTATTCAGATTCTCGATTCTTTCGAAATCTTGACTGAAGATTCTCGATTCTTTCGAAATCTTGACTGAAGGTTTGCTCGTTTAAAGATCCGGGGATTCTAGGTGACCTAATGACGCTAAATCTGTCAAGGAATGATCCGTTAAATGAAGCCCATCAACCTAACGTCAAAAACCGAGATCACGGTCATATAATAAGACCCTTCGTATCATTAGACCCTGAAACTCTTCGATTTTCAATCCAGAACACGTGTTTCTCGCGAGAGAGAGGGCGAGGACGAGACCCACCCTTAGAGCGCGAAAAGCCGGGAGTCTCGAGGGAGGCCCGCGATTAAGGAGGCTGCGGGAGCCGACGAAGGAGAGCAGAGTGCAGCGGAGGCGAGAGTCGATACGAGAGTGTCTATTTACGAGTTGTCCGGCGCCGTGATGTCCGGAGTAAAAATACACCGTAGAGCCTGCGCGCGCGCGCGCACAACCGCCACACACACCGGACCCTCTTATAATTCTCCGACGCGCGTTCTCTTGGTCGCTCTACGTCCCTGCCTGCTTCCACCCCGCCCCTCCCGTTTCCACCCGCGCTCTCTGTCTCTCTTTCTCTCTTTATCTCGCCCGTCCGGTGTGCTCTCCGGGGCCCACAGCAGCCGCGGGGGGCGACGTAACGCGGCGCCGTTCCTCTTGCTGGACCGCGGCCAACCGGGAGCGGCGGAAAGCACGAGAGCTGCAGGCTCTATAGGCTTTAGGGTGAAAAACACCGTACAGGGTGTTTCACGACTCCCCAGACTATCGTCACATGTATGTCAAAATGATATAATGAACGATTGTGGAAGTTAGATCCGCGAAATGCGTAGATTGCGTTGACGAAATATCATTTTAATAAAACGCACTAATAAAACGCAATAGGAAGAAAGGAGCGTGTATATCGATAGCGTTTTCCGCGATAAATACAGTAATTTTTTTCGAAAATGTTTATATGCGTTTTTCTAAAATTTCCATAAGAAAATGTTGGGAGGTAAACGTGTGAAAAATCTATGAGCATCATCATCAATTAAAATATATAAATATTTCGAAAGTTTGATATTTTTTTTCGCTAGAGGAAAAGATTAATTCCTACTTATATGCTTAAATTTTTTTGATCGAAAATGATAAGCTGCATCGTTTGAATAGTCCCGAGGCGATTAACAAATCGAACAGTCGGATTGACGTAGTGTTTACAAACGCGTGCCTACTGCAAGGCAGGTACGCGTTCGTCACGCAGGTACCGTCTGTAGTTTGATGTGTGGGTGCAGAAATATAATCGCGTAATGACGTCACACGCGCGTGCTGTGCAAAACAGACTTCCTTTCGTTCTTTTGCCCTCCTCCGTGAACTGTAGCGTGAATCCATCGTTGCGACGAAGAAGAAAAACATACTTTATGTCGTTCACGTTTAGCTAATCCTTAAACGCATCCAGTAGAATAAAAAAAAATCATTTACTCTATATAAATATACACACATACATATATATTAAAGTAAATATATTTGATTAAAAACTTATTCGTGTCTCTCTTCCTCCTTTATATATACATACCCAGAAAAATTTATATTTTATTTAAATAAAAATTTATTCAAATAAATATAAATGTCGCTTAAAAATTAAAATTTGCAGGCTTAAATATTATTATTATTTTAACGAAATACATACAAAAGTGATTGATTTATAATAAAATATCTATTGTCTAAAAAAGAGAGATACGAATAAACTTTTATTTATTTTAATAATATACGCATACATTGTTGAAAAGTTTTTAAACAATTATTCGTTATATTCCTGAATAAGAATATTTATCACATGTTACATGTAAATTGACCGAATTCTGCGATAAGACACGTTTAAAAAAGTTTCCTTATTTCGAACTAATCCAAGACGTATCCGACATTCATGGAAACTATCGGGTCCACATGTTTAATAAAAGATGGCAAGATTAAAAGATCGCCTTTATTTTGGGCGTCAAAACCTACGCTCTAACCCACGTCGCCTCGCTGCTTCGCCTCGGTCTTTTGAATGGAAGTATTTTTAGCACGCGCCTACTATATGTGGATAACTGTACGTGCCGCGTCGCGTATTCAGTTTCCACGGATCGAGCACCTGAAGCTAACATTAAAGTGCTCGATATAACGTACGTTCAAGTTAAATTTCGCGTACGCAATCGCATTATTTACGTTTCTGATAAAGGCACAGTGCGCTGTATAAATATATTTTTACCTGGGCCGATTAGTCCTGCGCCAATTATTTATATACGAGTATATATATATATATATATATATATATATATATATATATATATATATATCCGCAGTCATAACTTCAAAACGATCGGAACAATTTTGCAAAACAAAGAGAACCGATTTCGTCAAATTCGACGAAATAAATTAATACTCTATATATATTATATTGTCACACATCGCAAACGCAATCGAGTATTTTTGAATGTAAATTCGCAATTCCATGTATTTTCTTATGATAGTAAAATTGAGAATTTGAAATGTATTAGCTATAGCTATTTATCGTAAAAAAAAGCAAAGAATTTTGGGCTATATTATTTTGAAATAAATTATATATTTAATATGACAATTATTTTAATATAAAAAATAGAAAAATTATCTGGGTCGAGGTTTTCGAAATCTTCGAATGATGAAGATTAAGTTGTTTATTTTTTCTTTAATTTAATTGTTTAATTAAACTTAATTTTAATTTTAATTTAAGTTTAATTGCTTGTTTTTATTACTTCCGCGATTGAGTCTTTTTTCACGTGACGCATTCAGTCGAAAATTATGTATTTGTTTATATATATATATATAATTTACACATATGTACATGCATATTGCCATAACGCATTGTATCTGATAAAATGTGTAATATTTTTTCATTTTTAAAAGAAAGTCATTTTTTATACATTGAAGACATTTTCATTTCATTCCGCAATTTTAATTATAATATTAATGCTAATATTTTTCTCTCTCCATCCTTTAGAGGCAACGACTTACAATTATTTACTATTCCATCCAATCCGTCTAACGAGCGGCATAATCTTCTTTTGCTCAGTCACCTGACGCGCACTACGACATGGGAGGACCCGCGAAAAACCGCCGCAGCCGCAAATGTAGCAGCCGTAGCAGCCGCAGTCGAGAACAGCAAATCCAACCCCAACTCGCTCGGTCCGTTGCCCGACGGATGGGAACAAGCACGCACAACCGAAGGCGAGATCTACTTCATCAATCATCAGACTCGCACCACTTCGTGGTTCGATCCGCGAATTCGTAAGTTTTAACAAATTCCAATCTTCCTCAAGTGAAGGGTGAACGCAGTGCAAAATAGATTTCCCTCTCTAAATCCAAGAATCAAGAAACATTTAAGATACACTCATCTTTCTGTTATTGAACAATAGTTTGCTTAATTGAACCATCTGCGTGTCATTTATTTCACCTGAATTTCTACAATGAAGTATTGTCTCAAAAAAATTTTCATTTGTGTATTCTTAGAAGATATCATTGTTGCTTTAGCGACACATCTTCAGAGAACTCCAGCATCCGGTGCGATGCTACCACAAAACAGTTGGCTACAGCCCGCCGGTGTCATTCAAAGTAATCAGAACCTGCAGGTCTGCCAGCAGAAACTTCGTCTTCAGTCACTGCAAATGGAACGTGAACGCCTCAAGCAACGGCAACAAGAGATCATGCGCAGTCAGGTTAGTACTTAAAGATTGCTCGCAAAGTAATATCGCATAACAGTTCGCATGCAACCATCTTTTTGATAAGTCACGTTTTGATATGTCTTGTTCGTTGTTGTGCAGCAAGAGCTGATGCTGCGGCAGAGCACCACGGACGCCGCCATGGATCCATTCCTGTCGGGGATTAATGAACACGCACGTCAGGAGAGCGCCGATAGTGGCTTAGGACTTGGCTCCGCTTATTCCCTCCCCCACACTCCGGAAGACTTCCTCGCCAATATTGACGACAACATGGACGGCACAAGCGGTAAGAGCAGTTTGGGCAAAAATGTTTCAGAATGTGAAACTTTAACCCGCAACGTATCCCGCTATCATCGTACCCATCACCGCATTTGCCAAAGATTGTGCTAAAAAGAATGTTGTCCGTTTTGTTTTGTTGTCAAAGAGTTTTCAATTCTCGATTTATGAATAATTATTTTGCGCGATTGTTCCGATTGCAGAAAGGCACTGTGCGTTGATTGATCTTACGAAACGATTATACCGAAGCCATAAATACCTAAGTACGTATTTACAACGGTATAAAATTGCGTTTAGTTATACTTAAGACGTGACATTTTTTTTCAGATGGGGGTGCGCCAATGGAGACACCGGATCTATCAACTTTGAGCGATAACATCGATTCGACTGACGATCTCTTGCCGTCTCTTCATGTAGGTAACACAGTATTTTGAAGTTACAAAAGTTTGCAATTATAAGTATCTATAGAATTTTAATCATTAACAAACAATTATTGTCTGAAATAAGATGTAATAATAGTTTAACATATCCATTAACAGAATTATTAGTTTTCGCCTTTTTTCAATTTTTTAAATAATTTCTTGCGAGTGATCACTTCTACATCAATCTATATAATAGCTGCTAATAACGAGTATCATATCATTTTTAGATAAATTTATTTTTATTATCATGATGATAAATTTTTGCATAAATCTCCCTTTAAATAATTTTTAATTTAAATATAATAATTGACTATATAATTTTATATACCTGTTTTACCAGATTTATACATATGTGTGTGGGTCGTAAAATTATAATTATATAATTATATATCTAATTATAATTATATAATTATATATTTTCATATTAATAATTTTTATATAATTAATTTCTATATTTGTTAGAAATTTGTTGAATTGATAAAGAATTTAAAACGCGTATATATATATGATCATTTTTTTCATGTACGATCGTTATTGTTTCAGATGAGCGAGGACTTTAGCAGTGATATTTTGGATGATGTACAATCACTCATAAATCCTAACACGACCAAAGCAGACAACGTGCTGACGTGGCTGTAGAATTGAAGATCGCATTTGCAGCGTATTTACGCGGATTCACACATAAGTAGCACCGTGCATTATCGATGCCTTCAATCAATAACACGAGAGATTCTTCAGGGAATCTTTACAATAATAAAAAGATTTTGGTTTATTCTATATAAAAATAATAAATATATTTAAAATAAATTGTTTATATAAGAAAACTTTATAGAGAAAGCTCATATCTGCAACAACAGTTTTCAAATTATACGGCCTTTAATTGCGCGTGATGCTCAACAATTTAGACACGTATGCATACGTATATACATGCATATATGTATATCTATATTACGTACATGCATGTATGATAATAACAACAATATATATGTATACATTGTATATGTTGATATATACGTAAACACGTGTAAGGATTCCCATTTTTCCGATTTCTCTCTCTCTCTCTTTCTCTCTTTCTATTCCTCTTTCTCTTTCGTTCGGATATAGGGTGCGATAGTGTGTCTGTATGTGCGTGCGAAAGTTCTAAACGTTTTGTACATAAGTTTATACTTCCTTATACACTGCCTGAGAAAAGAAGAAAACAAAGAGACAGAGAGAAAGAAAGCGAGAGAAAGAGAGAGAGAGAGAAAAAATGATAATTGGATTTGTGACAATTTATAATATGAATTATAAATATATATAGAAGAGAACTTCCTCTCAGGATCGATTATATATATAATAAATCATCATAAATTGTGATGATTGCAATCTTTTGTTGTGCTACATATTGCAGAAAAATAAAATAATTGTAATCTATCATGAAAATATGAAGAGTAACTATTATAGTTACAATACATCGAAATCTTAAGATATTTTTGTATCAAATATTTTCAGAAAATTTGCTTGATATTTTCATAAAAGTTCAAAAGTTTGTCCATTAGCTTTCGTCTAAATCATTTTATATGCAAAGCATAAGAAAATACAATTACAAACTGATATTCTGCAATGTACGGACATACTTTACTGTGTTATACAACAAAATTTCTATTTCGTATTTACATATTCATTGAACTTAACAATCTCTCATGATGTATATCTATTATTAATTGCTTTTGTAACATTCTCTTTTTCAAATATCATTATGCATTGAAATGTTTTATGAACACACTAATGATATTGCGATTCGTGAAGCAGTAAATCTGTAATCGTAAAAATTGATATGATACTAGATTTTTTCAAGTCAGAATTCACTTTTTTCTAAATATAATATATTAACATGTTACGAATCAACTGTCGCATTAAGATTTTGTATTTTTTATTTTATGGCATTGAGTCGCATTAAACATTATTGTCAAGTAATAGATAATTAACATGTTACTTTGTTTTTTGTGAATAAATTAATACTCTGTTTTTTTCTTTTCTTAACATATGTGACAATTAAAGATTGCAGATCACGAATGTTGCAATTATTAATTTTGTTATACATACATAATCGTTCTTTTATTTATAATTCATATTATACAAAGATACAGTTAATAATCTAAGAATATAAGTCATAATCATGTTTGATGAAGCTTTTCAAAGCTCATCAATATTACTCGAAGATCATTACTTATTTCGAATCAATGTTACAGAGCAATAGTAATATTTACTGGACAAAGATCGAGAAATTTTTAATGACATATAGACGTTTGTTAATATTACGAATATGACATATACAATCGTGTTGTATAATGTTCAATATGCAGAAATCGAAGGCGAATTTCTGTGAGTTGCCAATTTCGGGATACATTACGGATCATAATGAAACGTTTGCGATCCCGCTTGTGGTGTATTTTTTTACAGCGATCATGTGTTTGTATAAGAGTGCCTTATCTTTATAATTAATTAACATGACACGACCGCCGGTCGTCGTTTTTCGACAATAACCGTCCATTACAATCGAAACATTACGCGAACATAATTTTATTAATAGGCAACACATTTTTAGAGTCTTGGCTGAATGAGTTTTCGCCGAGAATAAATGCAAAATGGGAGAGAGATAGAATATATATTTTTTTTATATGTAAAGTCTATATATTGTTACGGATTGCAGTTATATTAGTATTTTTCGAGAAATATCCTGTTAGATTGTAAACTTCTCTTACATTTTATACATTATTATATACAGTTACATGATAAAGATTACGAGATTGAGAAGAGTATATATATACAAATATTTACAGATTTACATGAACATCTTTTATCTACATAAGAAAGCTTCCGCATCCTGTCTCTCTAGTTAAAGGATACTGGAATGACAAGAGAAAAAAGGCCGTTAATATTAAATTTTTTTTTATATTTCTCATAAATCAACTCGGCCTAATTATCACTGGAAATTAAATAATTTCGGTGAAAAAGATAACGCATTTTCTGCAGTTATCATGTGGCAGCTTAGAAAATACGAAAAAACGCGAAAATTTTAGGAGATTTAAGCAACTGTTTTTATTTTCAGACAACGATATTCACAGATTAATAAACTCATGTAAATAGCAATCGTTCGATTGATTATATGTATAATCATGGACAATATATACAATGTACAAAATTATGAGAAATTATATAGAAAATAATTATTTCAATCAAGAATATGAAATTTGTACTAATATTTATATCGCAATCTGTTTAGAATTAATATCCATACACGGTTTTGTCCCAAAATGAAAACAGTTGCGTAAATTTCTAATTTTTTGTATGTTAAGCATATCGACAATCTTATCGACTTAAACTTTTCGTATTATTGATTCTCCCGCCTTTTCCTGTAATTGGGAAAAGTCTCGGAGAAAAAAAGAAAATTTTCGTTTCGTTATTCGCACGCTTCTGCGTTGTCTTTTCGTTTCAACTTTGCCGTGCGAATGCCGAACATTTTTGACTCGTTTACTTTTTCTTTTCTTCTAAAATAGTAAAAAAGAAAGTGATCGTGTTATGTATATGTATGTATGTACGTATGTATGTATGTATATATATATATATATATATATATATATATATATATATATATATATATGTATATATTTCAACATTAACTTGATCTTTGTGTCACTATCCGTATTTTTAGGCTGAAGCTCTGGAAGACAGGACGATGTCACGTGTCGAACACGGTAGACGTGAAACTTTTTTATTTTGTGTAAAAAAGAATGAGTATCGATCAGAGGTATTGATTGATCGTATTTGGAATTGTAATCGAAACATTTTTAATGCGTTTTATTCCGTATACGCGTTTTGAGTTTTATCCAATTTTGAGTTTTCCTTTTATTCGCTTCTTTCTCCCTATTTTTACATTCTCCAATTTTATTAAGCCGATTTTATTTTTATTTTATTTAAGTTCACCGTGTTCCACGATATTTTTCCGATCGATATTATTATTCGAATCGGACGCGTTTCTTAACGATCGTCGATTCGATCGACTGTCTTCCAGAAACGTCAGACCAAGTGCGTTTAATGTATTATTTTAATTGCAATATATATAACGTTACTATTAGTGTTTATCATACTGTATCTTGCTTTTAGTCTAAACACTGTCTAGATTATATTTCGGGGAGCATTGCGACACGGAAACTCTTATGCAAGTGCCTTCATCCGATTTTTTATATCGAAACTCCCCGCTTAGGTTGCGCATAACACGCGTCCATATAATATTTGAGATTATATACAGAACACACAAAACAATTAGTTGTTTAATATCAGTATTTAAATATGCTCATTGGAAGTTATTTGTGACATAAATTTTTATATTGATAACAAGTGCCTTTAAAATAATGATAACAATAAATATATATTATTTACTTACTTATTGCTAAGTAATATTATTTACCTTCAAATCTTTTCCTACGCTTCGATATCATTAAGATCGTAGAATAAAACATTACTGCTGTGCAATTAGCCATACATAGTATTTCTAATATATAATATAATTTCTGAGAAAACAAAAATATAAACGTAACATAAAAATATAAAATATTTGTTCAATTAATATTAAATTAAATTTTGGATGATCCGTGCCTAAAAATTTTTAGATTTTTAGATATAAAAATCTAAAAATTCAATCGCTGAATAATCGGATTTCGTAAAAGTGGAATTTTAGCCTTTATGGAAGCAGTTAGATGTGAAAGTAGTAAAACGTCCAAAAAAAAACGCCTTGACAAACGATTACAGAAAAGGGTAGGATGAAGACATGGATTAGGTTAGGTATCTGGATTAATATCTGGATACCTGAGTTTTTAGAGAATTCTTTCTTTCGTTTTTTGTCAAAGAAAAGTGCTTAGGATCTAGAATTGTCCGCGTCTAGAGTTTTTTAAACACCCTAAAATTCTTAGTGTTCAAGAAGTTAGTAGCAATAAACATAATTTTCAAATGTTAAAATTATTAGTAAAAAAGAAGTGAATTCGAAAAAAATTCATAGGAAAAAATCTTGTGAAGTGCACCGATCAGTTTTTCCGATGAAAAATGTGTTTTGTATCGGAAAAGTAGATTTTTCAAAAACAAAGGACAAAAAAAGGAATACTGAGAAATTTTGTGCAAGAAAATTCTTGAAAATTCTATACACTAGAAAAGATTTCTCTTTTCTGATTAGATTTTTCTTCCTTTTTTTTATTTTATATTTTAATGTTTTAATATAAAAGAGAAAACATTTTCCTCCATGTAAAACTTTTAGCAAAACTCATACATATATTTATTTTGCTAAGTTATTTAATTTTTTTTTACAATTAAATATCTAATAAAATAAAATAAATCTAATAAAATTAATTTTTTTACATAAACAAAATTGAGAATGTGTTACGTGCTGCTAGCAAATGCACAAGAAAAAAAATGAACACACTTTATAACCGATGGGGCAATATAGATGTTATGCTATCATTTTCTCCCTCTCGTTCAGGTAACTACACTTGTTCCTCACATTTTGATGCAGGGAGTTTTTTTTCGATTATAAAAAGCCAATGAAAAAAAAACGGCACTTGACACTCTTCCCCTGTGAACAAGGCCGTATCTAATGGGACTAACGCGAGAAAAAAAACTCCCCTTCACTCGACAGGTTGATATCTATTGTATGAATGACTGGTAATACGAGCTCGATCGCGCGCATAAAAAAATTAAATCCTCCCTTCGTTCAACAGGTTGCATCATTCGAAAAAGGGTCGGTGTTACCCTTTTGTCATTTTTTAAATCCCGTCACGCGTGTAATACATCATTCTAACAATGTTTTAGTAACATATTCTTATTAATGTAATCTATCATTATAATACAATAAAATGTTATGATATAAAAAAAATATAAAAATTATAATGAAATATAATAGACGTTGGAGAATCTGACTTTTAGTTAGCGTGAAAAATTTATAATAGAAATTAAATAGTAAATTAAAATTTGTTTTAATTATTTATATATATATATATATATATATATATATATGCATAATAATATTCAGATTAGATTAAATAAAAAATGATTAGATTAGATTAAAAATAATGCGCATCTTAAAATACAAAATTATATATATGTACAATTATATGTATGTACAATTATATATATGTACAATTTAAAATTTAGAAAGATATTTTTCCTTAACGTCCTCAAAAAATCTATAAAGATTTTCTATAAAAATGCATCAAAATAAAGTCAAGACTTTTATAGAAAGAGAA